GGCGGTGCAGTAACCACTTAGCAAACACAGAGCCACCCAAATGACTTACACTTGAGTGTTAACTCTAGGAATGCTTGAGAGTAAACTCTTTGCATTACAGCTGAACCCTTTCAAAGGAAATACACAACTCCCACACAGTGAGGAGGAGGGGGGGGGGGGGGGCAGCCTAAAATAAGGAACTGATGGATCAGTTCCGCTGCGGCTGGCTACTACCATTGACTGTCCAGAACGAGCGGAGCCTACAGGCTAATAATAACACATTGTGCAGCTACCAACACGGCACGCAAGAACTGTTGTGTCTCAATCCCAGACTCCTGTGGGAAGATATGGACATCCACGTTTTGCAACTGCATACCTTGCAATAATACAAAGTGATAATCCAGGTTTCTTTTAGTCATGAAGGTGTGTGTTCATTAGCCAGATACAAATAAAGACTCTTACCAAGTGCCCTAACACATCATTTTATCAAATGCATTTTAGTAGGGCCCAAAGTACTTTTTTTACTTAGTAAAGGGTAGCATAAATTGGACTTTTAAAGCTTTCACTTATCTTCAGAATAAAACCCCTTGTATGGCCTTTAGACTGGAAACAATGTCCACATATTCTGGCAACAAGGAGCAGCTGTAGTGGTTATAAATTGCAGTCAAAATACAATTAAAATGATTAATGTGAATGAGAAGTTCATACACTGGAGCACTATGTTGTCTGAAAGTAAAGTCAGATGTGCTTTTAAGTGGGTTTATTTCGACAATGTGAAGCTAAAGGCGTTTCTGTACTTAATTTCAGCGTCACAGCTTGTTTTCAAGAGTGCTGCTTTAAATGTCTCACTAACTGCAACAATGAAATCATTCCAGGGTGTCTAATTAGGTCATTTAAGGCATTGCCTAAGACAAACACACACAATGAGCAATTTGACTAATTTCAGTAAATAATAAGCATTCACAAACAACTGCTAAAGAATGAAAGCCTGTAAATAGAGTACAATCTGAACTAATTGCTCCGAGAGAAAGTCACTATACGTATAGCATGGCTTTACTATGTGTATACACCAAAGTATGGGATATAATTGAGCCCCAAACCATGTTATATCACTCATCGCACTGGTGAGAAAAAACATACATTTGCTAAATTCTAGACACAAATGAAAAGAGACCTCCAATCTAAAGAGGTGTTCATTAGAACGAACATTGATTTTATAACACCTTATGTGCAGGAGTAAAGGCAAGTTGAAAACCTCTTCAAGTTTGAGAACATAAAACAGAAAGCCCTTCTTTTGGGAGTCCATCTGAACAATGCATTACACCAAGTGTAAACGGAGAAATGCACATATTTCCAGTGTTCTCCACCCTGCACTTCTTTCCTCTGAGGAGAGCCTTGGAGATGAGTGTGTCTGTCGGCTGCTGCCCAGACTCTGGATGTGTTTATGGATTACAGTGCGGGCTGCCTGAGAGATGAGGTCATCAGGGTGCGTGTAGAGCATGGGGTTCAGTGTTGAAACAGACTTAAGAGCCACCCACGTGATTCTCTGTATGATGACATCCTGCCTCTAAGCTTCTCTCTGGAGGGAGGAGTGCCTCTGAGCAGGTAGGAGTGTGACCACCCACGCAGGACAAATCAATGTCAACAACATGTTTATAGGCACAGTAATATTCCACTAATATATTGCAAAATGACAACATTCCAAATTTGAAATAGGTCATATTGATTGGATATTTGTAATGCAGCATTTTTTCCGATATTTTCTGCTATTGTTTGAGTTTCAGGGAGATGTTTCTGACATGAATACATCAAGAATATGAGTCTCAAATGAGGGTTTTAGCCACAGTTTGCGCTTCTAGGCCTTTTGCCCATTAAGAACCAGCTGTGCATTGTGCACAGCAAAACTAGCCATTTGCATGTTGGGGTAAAGATGCTAGCCTAAAAGAAAAGCCCACATTTTAAACATTCATATGACACGGGATGTGCGCATTATCACAGAGCAAATCAACAAGTGATTAAAAGAGTGATAATGTCTACGATCAAATAGGTCGGCATATGGTTTCAAACTTTGAAAAATCCTCTTTTGATGCAAAGAAGAGTTAATCAGACTGCACACAGCTGAATCTAAATGGGACGTTTGTGGGAAATTCATTTGTATTAGCGTTGTAAACAGTTAAGGAGGAATATTGTCTTTTTTGTAATAAGGGCCATCTATTTTGTGCATGTAAACATAGTCAGTGACTACACAGTATCTATGGTGACTCCAGAAGACAGTGGCCATAAGTCTCCTGCTGGAGCTTGGTGCATAGATAGTCCTATTGGTCTGTGTCCAATGGTAACCATTTGCATGCACATCACACTTTTTAAACCTTAACAACCCATATATTCGTACGCAGGAATACCGACTTACAGGAGTGAACTTCCTTTCGCTTTTATCCAAATCTGCTCCCTTTTAATGTGCTCCTCCAGGCACCAGGGAATGAGCCTCCTGCTGTCGAGGTCTAAAACGGGTCCCCTTTCTGTCGAGTCTCCACAGCCTAAGCCCACATAGACTAGTCTCCTTTTAACACCATCTACTTCCTCCAATTCTCACACACTCTCCCTCTCTCTAAGGAAAGGGCTTAACAAGCTGACCCTGCCTGCTGCACAGTTTTTCAGTTTCAGCCCACAGGCTTGTTCAATCTGCATCCGACATATAGTGTCCTCTGGGTGCACATTTAGGATCGATGTTGAAGAGAGCAGAGACAACAAGTGACCTGGTTAACAACTAGAAAGCCTGAGGAAGCAGGTCCACATGAGAGAAGTGATTGATTGGACTCAGAGTGACTATTATCCTTAGCCTTTATTGCTTCTTTAAACAATTAAGAGCTGCAACGATTAGTCGAATAATCAATTAGTCAATCCTTCAGAAAAAACAACTATAAGGAGAATGTTAAAGTACATTTCCATGCAAAATGCCAGAAAATACAGTTTTCCGCCTCTTAGTTATGGAGATGTTCTTTTCTGATTTATATCATATTGAATTTCAATTATTTTGGTTTTGGATTTACAAAACAAGAGATTAAAAGGAAACTGGGATGGAGATCATATTTCTCATTATTTTCTAAAACTGAATAATCCAAATGATGAATTGAAAGTGATGAGCAGTTGCAGCCCTGTTGCACATTTCATTGGCGTCCAGCATAGGGTGTCCTCTGGGTGTGTGTTCAGAATGGATGTGTGTGGAGGCAGACTGCAGGCCAATACGTGACCTGGTAAACACAAGCAGAAAGCCTGGTCCACCTGAAAGAAGTGATGGATTGGGCTCTTAGTGACTATCAGCCTTTATTTGCTTTTAACTTATCATTGAACCACAATCCACTACACTGCCTGTGAGTTTTCATTTAGCTGTGACCATAAGCAGTCATCTGTCTGCAAGACACGAAAGGAATCGGAAACTTGTACGCCTATGAAGAATGACTGAGCTAGTGGTGTGTGACACTCCCTCCCGCCTGTTACTGGGATCTATGTGTGTCTGTGCTGGTGTGTGTCCGTTTACTGCAGGCATCGCCAGGCAGGACCGTGTGTGTGTGTGTGTGTGTGTGTGTGTGTGTGTGTGTGTGTGTGTGTGTGTGTGTCAAAGCAGGGAGACAGCTGGTGGAGTGGGATGCAAGTGTAGCTAGCGGGTAAAAAGTTTCCTTCCAAAAAGGCAGTGTTAGAAAGTAACTAAGTAAATGTACTCAAGTACTGTACTTATGTACACTTTTGAGGTACTTGTACTGTACTTAAGTATTTCAATTGTGTTGCTACTTTGTACTTCTACCCCAGTATAATTCAGAGGTAAATGTTGTACTTTTACTCCACAACATTTATGTAATACATTGAGTTACTTTGTGGATAAACAATATAATCAAGTGTTTAGACTTTAGTTCCACCTGGAGTAAATCCACAAGCTACCCTGCAGTATACAAAGTCATTCAAACTAGCTGCACCTTTACCAGCTTTGAGAACACTTTCATGATCAATCATTATAAAACATATCATATATATTATTCTGAGATGGACCAATCTGCACAACGACTACTTTTACTGTCGCTACTTTCACTATATTTTGATGATAATACTTTTCTACTTGAGCAACATTTTTGATTGCAGGAATGTTACTTGTAACAGAGTATTCCTACTCTCTGGTACTTCTACTTTTACTCAAGTACAAGATCTGAGTACTTCTCAACCTCTGCATAAAAGGCAAACTGAGACCACCCTGTTTCCCCTCATTCTCACTGCACTCTGCATTATTGTCTTTACAGCTGCATACAAAATGAACTCTTATAGTAAGACATGCACAACAAGAACACCACAAAAAACGCCACGTGCACAATGCTGAAATCAACACAACACAAATATACACACACTACAGTCTTGGGCGTGAACGCATTTCAACTACTAGACACAGCGAAGCTAACATTAGCCACTGAAAAGCTAACCTTTAGCTGCTGCTGCTACTAGCTACCGTTACAAACCCATTTTAAACATCAGCTAACGGTTAACCATGATGTCAAGGACGTTAAATCACCATATTCTTAGTAATGTAATGGCTTTACATTGTTTATTCCTGGGTGAAAAGCTGAGATTTGTTCCCCAATGTTAGCAATGCTGCCAAACAATCAAACCAGGGTATATTTACGACCGTTAAGCTGAAAGTGAATGGTGAAAAGCCGGTGGAGTGGTAATGATAGCACATTTAAATGGGATTCTATAAGCTTGGTTAGTACACGTCACATTTCTCAACACAGTAATGGAGTAGTAATGTTAGTGTTCTACATCTTTACAGGTCAGGAAACCAGCTAGTTATCTCTAACCAGCATGAAACGTTACAGAAAAAAGCCATTTGCTCCGTGAGGCCCAATTAAACCACCATTTACAATGTTCCTCAAACGTTACATTGAGAGCCATTTAAAGGTTGTACTGGTCTCCAAATTCTGTCCATCTTTACCCGTTATCTCGTTATGGAGCTGTGTGTAAAGCCAGGCAGCACTTACCTTGCTTGCTCTCTATTTTCCCCGACATTTTCGTAGCCAGCAGCTGTGATCCCACTCAACAAAAAAAGCTACAGACGAGCCTCGGCCGTGTGTCTCCTCCCGATTATTCCTTCATTTTCGACACAGTGTTGTGTCCATGAGATGATTCCGCCCGGGTTAATACTGTATATGTATAGGCCACACACATTGGTACGGCTAGAAAAACTGTGCCAGTCCGTCTTGGGGTGTTTTTTCACTGGATACACACACAGCACACAGCACACACACACACGGTAATGTCTTGAACCTCGGCTCGGGCAGGCGGAGAGTCCTCCTCCGGGGGAGCAGCGCCCCCCTGCGGGAGGAATGACGCATCCATCTGTCAACAAGGGGATGGGCGTGTTTCCATTGCACTTCTACAGTTGTCGCTAACCAGAGTTGTTGTTTTCAGGGCTAGAAACATGTGTGGTGCATTTGCAGGGACAATTCATATTATAAAAAAGGTGCTAAACGTAGTTATTTTGTATATAGTTATTGTTGTGCCTTTTTTCAATATATCCTAATGTGTACACTGTAGGCCTATAGTATGTGTCTATATCTGTATGCATAAGCAGAGGTGGGAAGTCATCAAGTAGAATTACTCAAGTAGGCCTACTGTATCTAAGTACACTTTTGAGGTACTTGTAGTGTACTTGTATTGTAATTCAATTTGTTGCTACTTTGCACTTCTACACCACTACATTTCAGAGGTAAATATTATACTTTTACCCCGCTACATTTATGTAATACATTGACTTACTTTGTGGATAAACAATCTAATCAAGTGTTAAATCAGACTTTAGTTCCACCTGAATCCACAAGCTACCCTGCAGTATACAAAGTCATTCAAACTAGCTGCACCTTTACCAGCTTTGAGAACACTTGATGATCAATCATTATAAAACATATCATATATATTATTCTGAAATGGACCAATCTGCACAATGACTACTTTACTATATTTTGATGCTAATACTTTTCTACTTTTACTTGTGTACCATTTTGAATGCAGGACTTTTACTTGTGACAGAGTATTCCTACTCTCTTGTACTTCTACTTTTACTGAAGTATCAGAACTGAGTACTTCTTCCATCTCTGTGCGTATGTATGTGTGTGTATGTATATGTATATAAGTGGGTGTTCAGGTGTGTGTGTATATATATATATATATATATATGTACATATTTATATATTCTTATTCCCTGGGACAGTGAGAAACAGCATTTTGATCTTCAGGTTTTTATCACATAGAAATTGACAATAAAGTGACTTTGACTACATTTAAAATGCCCATTACCATTAACCAACTGAATAACCCTGAGTTAATTCAAGATTTAAAGGTTTTATTGGTTTTAAGGTTTTATTGTCATATGCACAATAGCTACAGCATAGTTGCAGAATCCTCCAACAGAGCACTATACAATATACATAAGACAAAAAGAAACAAGGCAGTCAAATAGTACAACGGAAAAATACTGCGGGTGACACAATGGTGCAAATAAAATGCAGGAATAAGACATAAGATGTGCATGCAGATATAAAAAGATAAAACAGAAAGTAAAAATGAAATACTGTACTGTAAATACATTTACTGTATACTGTAATGATATAAAGATATGTTTATTTTCATCTGTAGTCCCATAGATACCATTCTGTATATTTTAGAGTGCGTACTTTATATATACTTTATGCTGTATGTATTTTTCTACTATTGATGGCTATATATACTGTTTACTTGTAGGGATATTAGCTTGTGCTTGACTTGGTGCAGTGACCTCTGGTGGGGTAGGTATGAATCTACTTCATAACATTTCATTATATAGAACCGTTACATTAAAAAAATTAAAAAAAAATTAACATAGATGAGGTAATGACACAAAAGTAAACAAATAAAATGCAATAAAATACCCATACAAATAATGAAAAAACACATGCAAGCATCAATCAATGGTTTTTAAGTTCTGCGTGATAAAAACATTTAAACATGATTGTGCAGGGAGTCACATACCAAGCGGCTGCTGAAGAAGAGTGCTGTGAAATGCTGCATTCAGCAATATTCATATGTATGTACAGTATGTAAAGATGACATTATATGCTACATTTTGTATTAAAGGTCCCATGTCATGCTTTTCAGGTTATTACCCGTCCCCTTGTGTGTTATGAAGGTTTTTCTGCATGTAAACGGTCTGCAGAGTCACAAACCCTCAAAGTACACCCTGTAGCGAGTACAACTCTAACACAGAGAAGACCTGTCTGTGCTGCCCCAGAACGCCCAAATGGACCAATCCTTGGAGCACCTCACACACCAGGATCCCTTGGCTAACTAACAGGGAGTCCCCTTTGACTTGCATATCTCCCTGAACGCTGGTAATAGACGAGTTAGGATCGCGGAGAAATGCTCTCAGCAGACCCATTCTCACAGCGTTAGAAACCTTTTTCTTTCTCAATATCAAGCCACACTTATTGTTTTTACTTTGGCTGTGAGTGTTTGCGTGTGCTCAGGATGAGTTTCGCTTGTTCTCGCTGTATCGCCGACCCGGAAACCTGTCCGCTCCTTGCAGCAAAGAGCCTCGCAACGTCCCGACCAATCAGAGCACACTGGGCTCACAGGGAGGGGGGGGCGGAGCACCAACAAGCCGTTTAGGACAGAGAGTGAATACCTGGTGAATACACATACTATACAGAGATGCTGTATGAGAAACCAATGTGAGTTTGGAACATTGAACAATGTAAATCTATTCTAGTAGACCTGAACAATGGAAATATGATCAGTAGAAATGGCCATGACATGAGACCTTTAATGTAATGGTAATTATGGAAGGCTGAACAGCCTCATTACACTGGGTTACACTTCTCTATTTCCTCAAGATGGTCGGCATCTACAATACAGTGTATTTCTGTTATTTATCATCTGTATTCTTTCTTTCAAAAACACATTCTGATCTAATTCAAGGATGAAGTTTTTGTGTATGATCTCACTTTATCTTCCATTGTTGCACCGAAAGTATTCTCGATGTGTTCCTTTGTTTCTGCACATACCAAGTGAGATTATTTTTCCTCTTTTCAAAAAAGCCCCGGCACATGGTGCAGATCCTCCCTGGGAATGTGAGGAGCTCGTATGCATATTTTTTGAAAAAGGTTTTATGCAAAATGTTTATGTTTTCTCGGATAAGCTTGAATATGCAACCTAAGTCTTTATTATAGTGGATTTGTATTCTTATCACAACAAATGCAATGCACTTATTTGCATTATATGTTACTTATATTGTTGGGAATTGAGATAATATATATTGTGGGCATTGTGTATGTAACGTATTCCTAATCATTTCCTAGGTCAATTTGAGCTGAATAGTACCGAAGGGTCCAATATGTCAACCAATTTCCAAGGTGAAAAATAATGTTTTCTGGATATATAGTGGTTCATTTTAAGGTTTATTTTTGATAAAGCACAGCTCAAATGGCTGCCCAGAGCCCCCTGTTGAACATACTGAAACCTTGGATGTCCTCATTAGATGTTCTCCTGCACAACGTGTTCTTATGACAGGGAATTAACAAAGTGAAGCAGTACCAAAAAAGAAAAGGAGGGGGGGTGGTATGACTTTTGAATTAACCCTGATTTCAGTAAACTGCTGACTACGGCTTTTGACTATTTAGCGCTTTACATTATCCTGGGCCATTAAAGAGCAAGCATCACGTTTATGTCTCTGGCATATCAAGAGGAAGCAAGTGCGTCCTGCCATCTCATTATGAATAATTGATCTGAGTGATCTGGGTCAGCTTGTGCACTCATGAAAGCAAGAGGCATGTTTTAAAAAATACCGAGATAAGGACTTCTCCGCATCTCTCAAAACGTTTGCAGCCTATCATCATTAACTGTATTTAATAATCAGTTATCAAACAGAGTCAAGGGTTCATATTTACACTGGCTGTCATTATGCCGCTCCCTTCTGCTCTTGCTTGCAGCAGAAACCACACCTATATAACAAGTGCAGAGTGCTTTCTGTGTGTGTGTGTGTGTGTGTGTGTGTGTGTGTGTGTGTGTGTGTGTGTGTGTGTGTGTGCGTGTGTGTGTGTGTGTGTGTGTGTGTGTGTGTGTGTGTGTGTGTGTGTGTGTGTGTGTGCACTACTGAGAATGTGTACTACTGAGAATGTGTGGGCGTGATTGTAGGAGTGGAAGGAGAGGAATACCTTCCCTGAGGCTATGATAAAGTCACACAACAACACAGTGAATTCCTGCAGGGGCAGACTTGTCAGGACAGGAGAGGCTCTGATCACAGGACGAATGTTTGCATGACTTCGATGTTTTCTACCACGCTTCAGTCTGTTAGTACTGCAATTGAATCAGCTAAAAGCATGTTGTCTGAAACAATTGTCAATTTGCCCCTGTAGGAAAATACTGGTTGGTTTTAGAGCTGCAAAGATAAATCGATTATAGTTACTCTTAAATAAATTGTCAAAAAAGCGCTTAATTTGTTTGATTTGAGTCACAAAAGAAGTCTTCTTATTGTGCATATTTTCTGGATTCTTTACTCCTTTTGACAAAACAAGACATTACATGAATGAATACAAAAATATGAAAAGATAAATCTTTCCCCATAGGTCAGTTCAGGTGTCTGAGCAGCAGCAAAGGTGGAACAAAGACAAATAGGAGTTCACAGAAGGATAAGAGAAATTAAATAAATGTCAGTAACATAGCAACACAGCAAGAACAACAACCAGAGGAATAGCTGAAACTATTATAAGGAGGTGAGTTAGAGTGAAAATACATCCAGTGAGAAACTTCTGTCCATCACTTCTTATTTCCATTTTTCATTTGTGATTTAGGTCACACAGCCAGGTATCACAGCGAAGCACTTTAGCTCTTTGCTGCTATCTAATGGCTGCACAGTACAAAACACACAGTACCATCACACGTTCTGCCACAGAGTGGTGCTCATGAGCTGCTGATGGGTTCTGTGTCCTGGAGCTCTGCTGTATGCTCCCTGTAGCTAAGCATGGCCATGTAGAGGGATGCTGATGTAATGTCATTTGAGAGAGCTCAATGTTACTGATTCTGCTTTACAACCATGAAATAGCTGTTTTCTTCATGAAATATACTTCCACGCAGAGGTGGGAGAAGTACTCAGATCTTGTGCTTAAATACAATAGTCTGTTACAAGTAAAAGTCCTGCATTCAAGATGTTACTCAAGTAAAAGTAGAAAAGTATTAGCATCAAAATACAGTAAAAGTAGTCGTTGTGCAGATTGGTCCATTTCAGAATAATATATATGATAT